GATGCTGCTTAGTGATAATAATATTATGAATTAATTTAAAAGTATAAAAAGCTAGAAATTTAGATGTAACTAATGGATATCTGTTAAAATGGTTAATAACCATTACTAGTTCTTGAATAGAACTAACATTAAACACTGCCTGGTTTCTATTATGATCAGCTCTAACATAACCAATATTTCCTAAATATTCAGAAAAAGAAAGTAGTAATTCAATATCACGAATATGCATTAGTAAACCAAATCTTAGTCCTATCCTAATTTAGTAGTAACTAATTAACCACTATTATAAAAATTTAATACCCCTCCCTAATATAATCCAATAACATAACTCTAAAAATAATTTATTATTTCTATTTATAATAAAACTAATACTTTTTTATTCTTATATAATAATATATCTAATATATCTAATATATCACTAATATTTTATATATTATTCGTCCATACATTTATTTTAACGTCAATATATACAATATCGTCCTAACATAAAATTTTATAAGTTAAAACAAACTTAGCATAATCTAATATTATATTAAAATATATATTATAAAGGTAGCTTAATTACGAATTTATTTTATTTTTTTTGAATTTCATTTATTATTTTTATTTTTTACTTTTAGGTAATTTTTTTAATTTCTATATGTTATTATTTTTATAATAGCAATTTTTTACGTTGTCATTTAAGTTGTTGTTTTTACAGCAATAATAGTATAATATTTATCTATTAAATTAGATATCTATATACTATTAGCTATTTTTTATTAAATTTATGCGTTTACTAAAATCACATCCATTATTAAGTTTAGTGAATAGTTACGTTGTTGATTCTCCACAACCAGCTAACATTAGTTACATGTGGAATTTTGGATCACTATTAGCAACTTGTCTTGGTTTACAATTAGTAACAGGTATCATCCTAGCTATAATTTAGTGTGTAGCTATAAAATATATTCAATAGCTAGATATATATATACAAAGTTTTTAATGGTACAATTTTATATTGTTATAATCCGTAAAAATTTGTACAATTAGCTAAATGTGAAACATTTTCAGAGACTATACAATACAATAATATGATATAGTCCGATATTATTATATATTTAATAATATAAGTTCACATTATAATAAGAGTGTAGTTTTAGACAATAGTATTCTTCAGTTATTAGTTTTATTTAGTAATTTCGTTCCTCTCTCATTATTAAATAAAAATTATACAACCAACTCATATAGTAAATCATTTGATGATAAAGGTTGGTTTTTACTGGTTTAACTGATGGCGAAGGATATTTTACAGCTGATATTAACAAGTCTAATACTACTAAATTAGGATAGGACTAAGATTTGGTTTACTAATGCATATTCGTGATATTGAATTACTACTTTCTTTTTCTGAATATTTAGGAAATATTGGTTATGTTAGAGCTGATCATAATAGAAACCAGGCAGTGTTTAATGTTAGTTCTATTCAAGAACTAGTAATGGTTATTAACCATTTTAACAGATATCCATTAGTTACATCTAAATTTCTAGCTTTTTATACTTTTAAATTAATTCATAATATTATTATCACTAAGCAGCATCTAAGTGTATCTGGTTTTGTTTTAGTATGTTCTTATATTAACATTTTAAATAAACCGTTATATCCAAAAAACTTGGTGAATTAACTAATGCTTTTGGTTGTTTATATGATGTTGTACAACATCATATATCTTAGGTAAAGTAAATCCATTCTGGCTTCTTTGTAGGTGAAGGTTGTCTTACTTTTCGTAAACAATATAGACCTCGGGTGTTAATTATGATATTTGGTTGATGGCTGAAATTGGTCAATTAACTAAAGACTTATATGTTTTAGAAGCTATTCGTGACCTATTAGGATTTGGTAAAATTTACCATGAAAATAAACGTGGCTTATCTAAAATTAGATTTGATTCATCAGAATCATTAACATCTTTTATCCAGTTTTTACATGAATATCCTCTAACAGGATTCAAACGTAAACAATTTGGATTAAAGCATTCAAATTAATTACGGAAATGCCTAAATCTGTTGAAAGAGAAGCATTACTTTTGGATATTCTGGGTCAATTGTCAGGTCTTACTAAGTCTTAAATTTTACTTAGAATTATTATTATTATCTTTATTAATTTTTAATACCCCTTACTTATCATTTATCCTATCTTATTATAATAGAACTAATGGCACTACACACCTAACGTAGACTTAGCATTCATTAGTGTAGAGCATATTATGAGAGATGTTAACTACGGTTGGTTACTAAGATACATGCATGCTAATGGTGCTTCTTTCTTCTTCATTTTTGTATACTTACACATTGGAAGAGGATTATACTACGGATCATACAGAGCTCCTAGAACACTTGTATGGAGTATTGGAGTAATTATCTTCATCCTTATGATGGCTACAGCCTTCTTGGGTTTAACAAATATTAGCCCAACATGTCAATTAATGGTCATTACTATGGTATATTTAGTTCTGTTATCTAACTACTTTTCAAACACTAATATTACGGATTCTGGTTTGGTAAAACTATTAAATAATTTTAACTTAAAACCTGTAATTGTTATTGATAATCTACAGGAATTATCTACTAAAGTTATGGCACCTAAACTATTAAGAGACCTAGGTGGTATTTATTTAATTTATAATAAAATCACTGGTGAAAAATATGTCGGAAGTGCTATTGTAGGTAATTTATACAAAAGATTTTATAAACATTTATATGGTGGGCAAGGAAATAGACTAGTCAAAGAGGCTGTAGATCAACATGGTCTATAAAACTTTGTATTCATGCAACTAAAATCAGTTGATGCTGATCCTCTTAGTGGAGAAACAGATAAACATTTCTTACTAGAAAATTATTTTTTAGAATTATTTAAACCGGAATATAATATTGCAACATTATCTCAAAATACATACGGATATCATCACACAGAAGAAACAAAACAAAAAATGCGTGATAATTATTCTAATGAGAGAAGAGAACAAATTGGTTCATTAAACAGAGGTAAAAATTTATCTGATGAAACAAGAGAAAAAGTAAGACAAGCTGCTTAGGGCCTATGTCTGAAGAACATAAACAAAAATCTATTTCAAATGAAAGACCTCTTTTAATTACTGATATTTCTGATACATCTTTCTCAAAAGCTATCTTTATGAGTAACATTCTTGTTGCTGCTAATCATATTGGTTGCGATGATAAAACTATCAGAAGAGCTCTTAAAGCAAATGGTGTTGTTAAGAAACAGTGGTTAGTTAAGGATTATTTACATTGTTAGCTGTTTTTGGCATAGTCATAGTTTTTATTATATAAATTTCAAAACCCCTCTAAGCAACTTACACAAGAAAATTAGAGTGTATAACTAAAAACTATTAATACTTACAAAGTATTGAATCGTTTACATATATTTACGATTTGGCGATACTAGTGAATACGGTTAAAGATAAAAGTTATTTATCCAGACCGTCGGTTTTGTGTAAAATCGCTACAGACTGGGTCACTAGTAGGTGTCTGAAATGACGCTTAATGTACAGTCGAGTTTCCGCATATTATATATATATGTTCAAGGCCCAGAATGACGTTTATTTATGTTAATAGCATGATTTACTGACTGGGTACAACTACTACTAATAATAACTTAAAATATTGGTAGAAGGGAAATTGTATGTTCTTCCTTATGGGCAGATGTCTCTATGGGGTGCTACAGTAATTACTAACTTACTTAGTGCGATCCCTTGGCTAGGAAGCCCATTAGTAGAATTCGTTTCAAATTTTATTTACTTTGACTTATTTAGTTTTACTATTCTTTTATTTTCCTTAATTGGAACTCACAGACTTAAAAGAAAATTAGTAGATTCTAGAGTTAAAGAATTATTAAGTATTTCACCAAAATTCTTAGCATTATTTGCTGGATTTGTAGATGGTGATGGTTATATTGCTACTATCCAAAGACGTGGTTATGTAGAGTGTTATTTAGCTATCGAGGTAGGTATTGTTGATATGTCAACTTTAAACTATTTCAGAGAAGTTTTAGGTGTTGGTAAAGTTAAACATGTTCAAAGAGCTTCAAGAAATGATACTGCTTTGTACACTGTTAATTTAACTGATTTAATTAATACTATTGTTCCTCTATTTGTTTACCATCAGATTACTTTTTTAACTTCTACAAGACGTCATCAATATAACAGACTATTATATGTTATTGAAAATGGTATCAAAAATTACGATGATTTACCAGAAAATCCTCCTATTTCTCAATACTTATTTCTTAATGAAATTGTTCCTTCAAACTATTTAGCTATTTCATTCTTTGATAGTTGGATTGTTGGGTTTATTATGGCAGATGGTAGTTTCAGTTACACAGAAAACATGAAATCAGCAAATTTCTCCATTAAACAAAGAACTCAACAAGGTTTATTGGAAGCTATTCTATTAAGATTAGGTTCTTCACGTAATTTAACTATTATTCCGGAAATCGGTAATTGGCAAGAAAGACAATTACTTATGGTTTCATCAATTACAGATATTCAGGCTGTTATTAATTTCTTTTCATTCTCGGACGTTCACCCTCTTATTGGAGACAAAGCCGAATCTTACAAAAGATGGCTGATTGCTCTAAGGGATAGTAGTCGTTATGGAAGTTTAAATTTCCCACCTATTGACTAATTTTTATAACCTTATAATACCTTATACCCCTCCCGGAACGAATTATAAACTATTATATGCTAGAAATAAATTATGAATTATATAGTACATTAAGATGTAATAATCTATATAAAATTATAACTAGCAAATTTATTATAAATTTCAAAGAATATACATGTTTTCATTTAAAATGAATGAGATATTCTATTCTTGCATTATATTATAACTTGCAAGACAATGGGGGAGGCTTTAGTGTTAATAATGCTACTCTAAATAGATTCTTCAGTCTTCACTACTTATTACCATTTGTATTAGCCGCATTAGCAATTATGCATATGATGGCATTACATACACACGGTTCATCAAACCCAACAGGTGTAAGTGCTAACAGTGACAGATTAGCAATGCACCCATACTTCACGTTCAAAGACTTAGTGACTATTTTTCTATTCTTCTTAGTATTCTCACTATTTGTATTCTACGCACCTAATAAACTAGGTTTTATCGGCCTAAATAACAATAATGTTATTGATATCAATTTTACTAAAATTATGGAACTAGTATTACTACTCTTAGTTTTTACTAAACCATATGGAATTCCCAATTCCTCAGAGACTTTACTTAAAAGTACTTCTTTAATTTCTAAAGATCCATATCCTGATAGTAGTCAATTTTATTTTTGGCTAGCTGGTTTAATTGATGGTGATGGTTATTTAGGTGTATATAGTAATGGAACACCATCAGGTGAGATCACCCTTGGTGAACATGATTTATCTACTTTAGAATATATTAGAAACAAAATCGGTGGAAATCTTGGTAAACGTACAGGTAAAAGAGCCTGGCGTTGGAGATCTTCAGCTAAAAGAGTATTATTACCCTTGGTTCAAAATCTAAACGGTAAACTACTTTTAAGTTCTAAACATGATCAATTAATCACTTTATTCTCACACTTTAATCTTCCAAATCCTATTACAAATAATTTATTGTCTTCTAACACAGCTTGGTTATCAGGATTTTTTGATGCTGAAGGATACCTATCTATTAGAAATATCAGTACTTTAACCTTAAGTATTGGTCAAAAAGATAGAAATATTCTTCAAAATATTGTCGATGTGTTCAAAGTAGGTACTATCTACCATGACATTTCAAGTGATACTTATAATTATGTAATTACAGACTAAAATAGCCTGTTGGTGCTAATTAATTATTTTGACAAATATCCATTATTAACTTCTAAATCATCGGATCTAGAAATGATCAAGAAACTTGCACTAATGAAAGTTAATAAAGAGCACTTACAAAAACACCCTTGCCATGATTATTTTTATCAATTAGTGCAGGAATTCAAAGACAGGAACAAAACAAAGTCCTAAATCAAAATAAATAATTATTTTGATTTACAGCACCCTGACAACTACATCCCAGCTAACCCTATGAGTACACCAGCATCAATTGTACCTGAATGGTAAATCTAACGTAATAAAAAATTTATGTGCCATTCTAAAACTAAAATATATGCTAGAACTGTTAAATGTTTTGTACTAATAATATGTAAGAATCAAAACTATAGAGCAGTATCAGCAAATTTATCAATTTCAGAGACTATAATAAAATTTAGTCCTTTATAAACTTATTTAAAGTTTAATATTTTGACCTATTACCATTCTATGCTATTCTAAGATCTATCCCGAACAAATTGTTAGGAGTGCTAGCAATGTTTGGTTCTCTGCTAATCTTATTGGCAATGCCTATTTTAGATACTTCTAGAGTTAGAGGTGCTCAGTTTAGACCATTCATGAGAATTGCTTTCTGGTTATTTGTAGCTAACCTACTTATCTTGGGATTCATCGGGGGAGAACACCCTGAAGACCCATACATCGGAGTAGGAGCTGCAAGTACAGCCTTTTATTTCGGATGGTTCTTATTCATCGTGCCTGCGATTGGTGTGTTAGAAAACACATTAGCTGATCTAGGAAGTAACAAATAATATTTATAACCCTTTAAAACTTTTAATACCCCTCCCTGAATTATAATTATAAATTATAAAATTAAACCAATAATTACATATTTTTTTTAATGGTCATCCATACATTATATAATTAAGTAATAAAAAAATTAGTAAAAAAGTGTATATTTATGAAATAATATAAATTATCAAAAAATATAGGTAATATTGAAGAGTAATTTATTTACTTAAGAAGATTATTAAGGATATTAATAATTGAGTTATTTGTATGAGTTTAAGCTTGGCTCAGCTTGAATACTATCTAATAGCTAGACATGCGAGTCGTACGAGGATAATATATAAATTATTCTAGTGGCGTGAAGGTGAGTAATGGTATAATTAGGACACCTAGACCCGTCTTAAATGGATGATAAGGGGAATTTTATTTTTATAGGATTCTTTGAAAGGGTTGTACTTGGTTTAGGTTCTGTTATATTCTAAGTAGCTAGTTGGTAGGGTAACTGCTTACCAAGGCTATGATTAGTAGTCAGTCTGAAAGGATGTATGGCCACAGTGGGTAATAAACCCATCATGTTATATTTAGCATGCAGCAGTCGGTAAAATTGGTCAATGCTTGAAAAAGTGAACCAGCTAATTAGATTACGTATAATCATCGTATACGTAGTAGGATATATTCATAATGAGAATCTATATCTGAGTAGTCCTTGACAATTCTGGTGCCAGCATCAGCGGTAATACCAGAAGGGCGAGTATCAAGCATAATAAATAGGCGTAAAGGGATCGCAGACGGTTTTAATATTTCTTATATTTAGGAAACTTATTGAAACTAGAATCTAATGGGTGTTTTGAGCACGTTGGGAGTAGGGGTAAAATCCGTTGAGACTCAAAAGACTACTAAAAGCGAAAGCACAAAACAATTAAAGATTGACGTTGAGGATCGAAAGCATGGGTAGCAAAAGAGATTAGAGACCTCTGATAGTCCATGCCGTAAACGATGTCTGTTCATATGTAGCAATTTTTCCGCTATATATTTAGTTAGCACATTAAACAGACCGCCTGAACAGTACATTCCCAAGAATGAAAATCAAAAGTTTTAACCGCAGGCTAGTACACGGGGTGAAGCATGTTATTTAATTCGATAACCCGCGTATAACCTTACTATCTCTTGTATATTTAGATTTTTATCTATTTACAGGTGTTGCATGGTTGTCGTCAGTTCGTGCTTAATAGTGTTTGGTTAAGTCCGCTAACGAACGCAATCCTTATGTTTAATTTATACATAAACAATGATTAGATTAACATCTAATTTTAAAGGAGTATGACTAATCATCATGACCCTTATGAGATAGGCTATAGACGTGCCACAAAATTAATAACAATATCATTTATTTGTATGAGTTTAAGCTTGGCTCAGCTTGAATACTATCTAATAGCTAGACATGCGAGTCGTACGAGGATAATATATAAATTATTCTAGTGGCGTGAAGGTGAGTAATGGTATAATTAGGACACCTAGACCCGTCTTAAATGGATGATAAGGGGAATTTTATTTTTATAGGATTCTTTGAAAGGGTTGTACTTGGTTTAGGTTCTGTTATATTCTAAGTAGCTAGTTGGTAGGGTAACTGCTTACCAAGGCTATGATTAGTAGTCAGTCTGAAAGGATGTATGGCCACAGTGGGTAATAAACCCATCATGTTATATTTAGCATGCAGCAGTCGGTAAAATTGGTCAATGCTTGAAAAAGTGAACCAGCTAATTAGATTACGTATAATCATCGTATACGTAGTAGGATATATTCATAATGAGAATCTATATCTGAGTAGTCCTTGACAATTCTGGTGCCAGCATCAGCGGTAATACCAGAAGGGCGAGTATCAAGCATAATAAATAGGCGTAAAGGGATCGCAGACGGTTTTAATATTTCTTATATTTAGGAAACTTATTGAAACTAGAATCTAATGGGTGTTTTGAGCACGTTGGGAGTAGGGGTAAAATCCGTTGAGACTCAAAAGACTACTAAAAGCGAAAGCACAAAACAATTAAAGATTGACGTTGAGGATCGAAAGCATGGGTAGCAAAAGAGATTAGAGACCTCTGATAGTCCATGCCGTAAACGATGTCTGTTCATATGTAGCAATTTTTCCGCTATATATTTAGTTAGCACATTAAACAGACCGCCTGAACAGTACATTCCCAAGAATGAAAATCAAAAGTTTTAACCGCAGGCTAGTACACGGGGTGAAGCATGTTATTTAATTCGATAACCCGCGTATAACCTTACTATCTCTTGTATATTTAGATTTTTATCTATTTACAGGTGTTGCATGGTTGTCGTCAGTTCGTGCTTAATAGTGTTTGGTTAAGTCCGCTAACGAACGCAATCCTTATGTTTAATTTATACATAAACAATGATTAGATTAACATCTAATTTTAAAGGAGTATGACTAATCATCATGACCCTTATGAGATAGGCTATAGACGTGCCACAAAATTAATAACAATATCATAGCAAATTTATATTTTTTAATAGGAAAAAAGAGCTAATGATCAAATATTAATGAGTATGAATTATATGCTGCAATTCGCATATATGAAATAGGAATCCCGAGTAATCGTTTATCAGGATCGGAACGGTGAAACGAACTCTAGCCTGGGCATAAACCGCTCGTCACAAGCGTTAAGATGATTTATAATGAATATAAATAAAAACCTCAAATAATTTAAGATTTTAAAAAAGTCTTATTTTATTAAGGATAATCAGTTTGTAGAGTTGTGATCATCAAGATGCTTGAAGTCGAAACTGGTCACGGTAGGGGAACCTGCCGTGGTATCATTAAAATTAATTAAACCCCTTCAATATTATTATTAATTTTTAATTTTATATAAACAAGTCGTTCCTACATTAATTTATTTTATTTCAATATTATAGGTAACAAATAATTTTTTCTACTTTATTAAGACGGTAGCTGAGTGGTTTAGCGTGCACTTTACACGTGTGATACAAGAGTTCGAATCTCTTTCGTCTTATTATTTAACAATGCCCATCATTATTATAATGTGATTTTTTACTATTAAATTAGTAATTATTTCAGATTGCTATAAAAGCATTATATGATTGATCCTATTATTAGGGCACTTATATTATTTTTAAATTTTATTTTTAATTGATTATAAGTGTGATTTGTATTTAAAAGATTATGAATTTTCTTTTAAACTGGTTAGTTCCCGTGTATAATGATGCCCCTGAACCATGGAAATTATCTTTCCAAGATGGAGCAAGTCCTACATTTGAAGGAATTACCGAATTACATGATACCATTTTCTTCTACCTAGTTGTTATTGGTGTAGGAGTTTTCTGGATCATGGGAGTTACAATGATTAACTTCAGTGAATCAAAATCACAAATTGTTTACAAACACTTTAACCACGGTACTCTTATCGAGTTAGTTTGGACAATTACACCTGCATTTATCTTAATTGCTATCGCATTCCCTAGCTTCAAATTACTATATCTTATGGATTCTATTACTAGAACGATTTTTAACACTATTATGTCTAAATCAATCGTTTTATTTAAATCTACTGTTCAATCATTTTCAATAGCTATTGAAAGAGCTAAACCGATTTTCATTAAAAATATCACTACACCTTGTACCGCTATTGTACCATATGGTGTTATGGGGAATTCTAATGGAATCAAATTAAGTCAATATGCTAGAGATATTACTGTACTAACTGAAACTATGCGTGATCAAATTATTGGTCACATCTTGGGAGATGGTTCACTAACTAAATCATATACTTCTAAGAATGCATACTTTGTTTTCACACAGACATCTAAGCGTTTTTTCTATATTATGCATATTTTTTCAATTTTAGGTCCACTTTGCCTAAAATTACCAACATTAGGTTGTAGTTTACGTAAAGGAATTAGAAGTTACTATCTTCAAATTCACTCACGTAGTTACCCATTTTTTAGTAATCTGTACAATTTATTTTACTTCGATGGTATTAATCCAAATCCCGTAAAAAGAATTCCTACAGATCTTCTATTTTACTTAAACCCTAATGTTCTGGCAGTATGGTGCATGGATGATGGAAATTTCTCTCCAAGCGGTTTCTATCTTCACACTAATAATTTTAGTTTTAATGATGTATATAAATTAGCTGCTATGCTTCACTATGTTTTTGAATTAACTGTGAATGTTCAAAGATTTGATGGAAAACCTGTTCTTTATGTTCCAGCTAAGCAATTACCTAAATTTTATGCTTTAGTTAAGCCTTATATTTTGCCTGAGTTTGCCTACAAGTTTAGACACCAAGTATTGACACAGTATGATTAATACCGAGTCCCACTTTTATATTAAATTTATAATACCCCTTCCTATTTTTACAGTATTACAAATTTATAAAGTGAAACACATTTTACGAAGCTAAGATCGTTTTTAAGTTATTTAGTACTAGTATAATAGTGATAACCTAAATAATTACGTATCAGCTGTATTAAAAATATTTTCAGAGACTATAGCATATTGAATATTTTATTAATATTAAAATATAGTCCTTTTTTCAATATTTTAACTCTAAAAGTTTTGAAAATATTAGGAGGTAATTTCACCATCTATGACAATCAAGGTTAACGGTGCTCAGTGGTACTGGTCTTACGAGTACTCTGATTACTTGAATGAAGAAGGAGAATCCCTGGAATTCGATAGTTACATGGTACCTGAATCTGATTTAGAATTAGGTCAATTAAGACTACTTGATGTTGACGCACCAGTTGTAGTACCTGTTGATACTCATATCAGATTTATTGTTACAGCTAATGACGTTATCCATGACTTTGCTGTTCCATCTCTAGGATTAAAAATCGATGCAACACCCGGTTAATAAACGGCCGGTTAAAAATTTACTAAAATGCTAATACGTTACTAATAATATGATTATTACTTTAAAAAAGTAAAAATATAATCATTTATCTAATTAGCAAATATTTTTTATATTTCAGAGGCTATTTTAAGAAATAGTCCATTTAAATTATCAAATAATTTATAAAATTTGCGTTTAAATCAAACTTCGGTATTAATCCAGAGAGAAGGTACTTACTATGGACAATGTAGTGAAATTTGTGGAGCTTACCACGCATTTATGCCTATCCAAATTCAGGCGGTATCACTAGATAAGTATTTAAGCTGGTTAGATAGCCAATTCTAGATTTACCTATTATTAAAATTATTAAACCCCTTCCAAAATAGGAATATATACACAATTATATTCTTAGTTGATTTTATCAAATTGAAAACACTTTACAGTGTGTACCTTATAGTCTAATTTAACTTTTATATTATATATAATTATAGTTAATCTTAGACGTTTTTACTAAAATATATAATAAATTTATATATTTTATGTAGTTTATATTAAGTTATTTTTATAAAATGTTTACATTATTAAACCTTGTTGAAATTCTTATTGTATTAGTTCCTGTTCTTCTAGCTGTTGCTTTTATGACTATTTTAGAAAGAAAAGTTATGGGTAGCATGCAAAGAAGAGTTGGTCCAAATAGAGTAGGATACTATGGTGTTCTACAGCCGTTCGCCGATGCCCTTAAATTAGTAGTTAAAGAAAATGTTATTCCATCACACTCAGCTAAAACATTATTCTTCCTTGCTCCTATTATTGTTTTATTAACTAGTTTATTAGGATGGGGAGTTATGCCTTTTGGTACCGGATTAGTTATTGGAGATTATCCATTAGGATTATACTTTACATTAGCAATTGGTGCTTTAGGTATTTATGGTGTATTATTAGCTGGATGGAGTGCTAACTCTAAATATGCATTCATTGGATCATTAAGATCTACAGCTCAGTTAATTAGTTACGAATTAGTATTCAGTTCATGTTTACTAGCAGTATTATTCTTATGTGGTACATTAAATTACACTAGAATGATCGAAACACAACAAGCTGTATGGTTTATTTTCCCATTATTACCATTATTTGTTATGTACTTTATTTCAGTATTAGCAGAAACTAACAGAACACCTTTTGATCTTGTAGAAGCCGAATCTGAACTTGTTAGTGGATTTATGACAGAACACGGATCTCTTGTATTCGTATTCTTCTTCCTAGGAGAATACTCATCTATTGTAGGTATGTCAGCGCTAACAGCATATATGTTCTTAGGAGGATATAATATGCCCGAATTATTTGTAAATGATACTATGATCAATATTCAAGGATTTATTCTTGGACTTAAAACATGTATTTCTTGTATTCTATTCGTATGGTTCAGAGCATCTCTACCTAGATTAAGATATGACCAATTAATGGTATTCTGTTGGTGTAATATGTTACCATTAGCTATTGCTATTATCATGTTAATTCCAAGTATCTTATTAGCATTCGATATTATGCCATACTAATAACTAAATTAACCCTTTTATATAAATTTAATACCCCTTCAGAATCATAATAACTATAATAACCATAATAAAGGTATTATAAAATTTTATTTTTTATATAATTAGTTATAGGTAATGCGAGTATGCTGTAATTGGTAGCCAGGTGATCGTTAAGTGATCAAGGTAATAATACCGTGCCGGTTCGAGTCCGGCTGCTCGTAATAAAATATTAGTAAACTCACATTATTTTATAATTAAATAATAATAATATGTATAGACGACTTAATTTAAATAATAACATGTATAAATAACTAAACTACAATATACATAATTTATATGGTGATATTTATATTTAATATTAATAATTAAATATATTTTTTGTTATAGATTATAATATTTAATATTTATGATATGATCCGGAAAGGAATTGAACCTAATACCTTACAGTTATCGGCTGTACGTTCTACCATTAAACTACCAGATCTTATATAATTACGATAATCGAAAAATTTAGCAAATAATCAATAATTTACCTTTAGAAAAAATAAAAAATAAAAATTAAAGGTAAAAGTTAAAGTTTGAATTTTATAATAATTTATTAATAAATATGCACAACTTATTTATGATCAACTCTCCATTAGAGCAATTCGGTGTTGTCAGTCTATTGGAGTTTAGACTACCATTTAATGGTACAGTTTTAAGTTTAACTAACTTAGGACTATATTCTATCATCATTGTTGTTTTAATCTTAGGTGGACATTTTCTATCTACTAACAACAAAGGTCTAGTAAGTAGCCCATGGTCTCTTACATTTGAAAGCCTATATACTACTCTACAATCAATGGTTAAAGACCAAATTGGATCAAGATACGAATCATACTTACCTTTTGTATACGGATTATTTATTTTCATCCTAGTTGCTAACGTTAATGGTAACATCCCTTACGGATTTACTATTACTACATCTGCTATTGTTTCATTAGGATTCAGTTGTATGATTTTCTCATCTGTTACTATTCTTGGATTATTCAGACATGGTATCCACTTCTTCAGTTACTTTGTTCCTGCTGGTACACCATTAGCATTAGTACCATTACTAGTATTAATCGAATTAATTTCATACTTTGCTAGAGCTGTATCATTAGGAGTACGTCTATTTGCTAACATGGTAGCTGGACATATTTTACTAAAAATTCTAGCATCATTCTTATTTGGACTATTTAACTCATCATTATTAGTAGCTACATTAACTCTAATCCCATTTGCATTATTTGTTGCATTAATTGGACTAGAATTAGCAGTAAGTGTTATCCAAGCATACGTATTCACTATTTTAACTTGTTCTTACATTAAAGATGCTCTAGATCTTCACTAGTTAAATAATAGTAATATTATACTAATATATAATAACCCTTTTATAATTAATTAAACCCCTTTTTATATAATATATAATTATTAGATAATTAAAGGTAATCTGGTTATTTAATTTTTTTAAGTTATTTTATTTAACACTTATATTCTACCAAGGCATGTGTCGTATAATGGCAATATAGTGGTCTTCCATATCATTGACGTGGGTTCGATTCCCACCACATGTATTTTTTGTAATATAAATTAATTCTATTATTATTTTAAAAAATTTAATTAATTATTTTACATTGTGACTTTTTAGTAATGCTATTATTAGCTTTAATTATTTTAGTTGTTGTTTTAGCAACAAGTTCCTCAGAAAACAGATCTACTGTTTCATTTGTTTACAATCCGGTTAAATTAATTGTATTATCATTAATTTTATCAATTGTATTAATTATTTCCGCTATTTCATCTTGCCCATTAGATTTAACAGTTTCTCTCTTTAGTGGACTATATCAAACATCATATGTAACATTAGCATTTGATTTACTATTATTTGTTAGTTCAGCATTAGTTTTAACATCATGGCCTCAATTTAAATCGAATAAATACTTATCTCATTTTAATAATTTTAAAATGAACGATTATAGTCTTATTGTTTTATTTTCTATTATTGGTGGATCATTCTTATTAGCTTCTAATGATTTAATTAGTTTATACTTAGCTCTTGAATTACAATCATTTGGTGTTTATGTTCTTACTACATTATATAGAGACTCAGAATCTGCTACTTCTGGTGGTATGAAATACTTCTTTTTAGGAGCTCTTTCTTCAGCCTTAATTTTATTAGGGTCAGCTATTTTATATACTTATTTAGGATTAACACAATTCGAATCTATTTATATTTTAGCAAGTGTTCCTACTAATACTATCGATCAAATTGGACTAAATTTTGGTTTATTACTTATTCTTATTGGATTATTATTTAAAGTTGCAGCTGCACCATTCCATTCATATGCTCCAGATGTATATGACGGAGCACCAACTCAAGTAACAATTTGGTTAACAACTATTCCAAAACTAAGTTTATTTGGTTTATTATTAGTTCTACAACCATTAGGTACATTATTAAGTAGTTCAGTAGAATTATTTAATTTAGTTCCATGGACAGATTTATTATTATTATCTACATTATTATCATTTATTGTCGGAAGTGTTATTGGTTTAGGTCAATATAGAATTAAAAGATTACTTGCTTATAGTACTATTGGACATGTCGGATTTATTTTATTAGGTCTAGCAAGTCATAGTACACAATCATTAGAATCAACATTCTTTTACTTAGGTCAATATACATTCACTACTATTAATGTATTCCTTATCTTAATTGCATTTGGTATTGCTATTAATGGTAAAAAATCTAATACTAATTATGATATTCAATTTATTAAAGATTTAACAGGACAATTCCTACATAACCCAGCATTAAGTTTAAGTTTAAGTTTATGTTTATCCTAAAAGTGGAGGTACTCCTGCCATAGAGAATAAACATAAACTTAAACTTAAACTTAATGCTGGGTTATGTAGGAATTGTCCTGTTAAATCTTTAATAAATTGAATATCATAATTAGTATTAGATTTTTTACCATTAATAGCAATACCAAATGCAATTAAGATAAGGAATACATTAATAGTAGTGAATGTATATTGACCTAAGTAAAAGAATGTTGATTCTAATGATTGTGTACTATGACTTGCTAGACCTAATAAAATAAATCCGACATGTCCAATAGTACTATAAGCAAGTAATCTTTTAATTCTATATTGACCTAAACCAATAACACTTCCGACAATAAATGATAATAATGTAGATAATAATAATAAATCTGTCCATGGAACTAAATTAAATAATTCTACTGAACTACTTAATAATGTACCTAATGGTTGTAGAACTAATAATAAACCAAATAAACTTAGTTTTGGAATAGTTGTTAACCAAATTGTTACTTGAGTTGGTGCTCCGTCATATACATCTGGAGCATATGAATGGAATGGTGCAGCTGCAACTTTAAATAATAATCCAATAAGAATAAGTAATAAACCAAAATTTAGTCCAATTTGATCGATAGTATTAGCAGGAACACTTGCTAAAATATAAATAGATTCGAATTGTGTTAATCCTAAATAAGTATATAAAATAGCTGACCCTAATAAAATTAAGGCTGAAGAAAGAGCTCCTAAAAAGAAGTATTTCATACCACCAGAAGTAGCAGATTCTGAGTCTCTATATAATGTAGTAAGAACATAAACACCAAATGATTGTAATTCAAGAGCTAAGTATAAACTAATTAAATCATTAGAAGCTAATAAGAATGATCCACCAATAATAGAAAATAAAACAATAAGACTATAATCGTTCATTTTAAAATTATTAAAATGAGATAAGTATTTATTCGATTTAAATTGAGGCCATGATGTTAAAACTAATGCTGAACTAACAAATAATAGTAAAGCAAATGCTAATGTTACATATGATGTTTGATATAGTCCACTAAAGAGAGAAACTGTTAAATCTAATGGGCAAGATGAAATAGCGGAAATAATTAATACAATTGATAAAATTAATGATAATACAATTAATTTAACCGGATTGTAAACAAATGAAACAGTAGATCTGTTTTCTGAGGAACTTGTTGCTAAAACAACAACTAAAATAATTAAAGCTAATAATAGCATTACTAAAAAGTCACAATGTAAAATAATTAATTAAATTTTTTAAAATAATAATAGAATTAATTTATATTACAAAAAATACATGTGGTGGGAATCGAACCCACGTCAATGATATGGAAGACCACTATATTGCCATTATACGACACATGCCTTGGTAGAATATAAGTGTTAAATAAAATAACTTAAAAAAATTAAATAACCAGATTACCTTTAATTATCTAATAATTATATATTATATAAAAAGGGGTTTAATTAATTATAAAAGGGTTATTATATATTAGTATAATATTACTATTATTTAACTAGTGAAGATCTAGAGCATCTTTAATGTAAGAACAAGTTAAAATAGTGAATACGTATGCTTGGATAACACTTACTGCTAATTCTAGTCCAATTAATGCAACAAATAATGCAAATGGGATTAGAGTTAATGTAGCTACTAATAATGATGAGTTAAATAGTCCAAATAAGAATGATGCTAGAATTTTTAGTAAAATATGTCCAGCTACCATGTTAGCAAATAGACGTACTCCTAATGATACAGCTCTAGCAAAGTATGAAATTAATTCGATTAATACTAGTAATGGTACTAATGCTAATGGTGTACCAGCAGGAACAAAGTAACTGAAGAAGTGGATACCATGTCTGAATAATCCAAGAATAGTAACAGATGAGAAAATCATACAACTGAATCCTAATGAAACAATAGCAGATGTAGTAATAGTAAATCCGTAAGGGATGTTACCATTAACGTTAATTTATATGGTGATATTTATATTTAATATTAATAATTAAATATATTTTTTGTTATAGATTATAATATTTAATATTTATGATATGATCCGGAAAGGAATTGAACCTAATACCTTACAGTTATCGGCTGTACGTTCTACCATTAAACTACCAGATCTTATATAATTACGATAATCGAAAAATTTAGCAAATAATCAATAATTTACCTTTAGAAAAAATAAAAAATAAAAATTAAAGGTAAAAGTTAAAGTTTGAATTTTATAATAATTTATTAATAAATATGCACAACTTATTTATGATCAACTCTCCATTAGAGCAATTCGGTGTTGTCAGTCTATTGGAGTTTAGACTACCATTTAATGGTACAGTTTTAAGTTTAACTAACTTAGGACTATATTCTATCATCATTGTTGTTTTAATCTTAGGTGGACATTTTCTATCTACTAACAACAAAGGTCTAGTAAGTAGCCCATGGTCTCTTACATTTGAAAGCCTATATACTACTCTACAATCAATGGTTAAAGACCAAATTGGATCAAGATACGAATCATACTTACCTTTTGTATACGGATTATTTATTTTCATCCTAGTTGCTAACGTTAATGGTAACATCCCTTACGGATTTACTATTACTACATCTGCTATTGTTTCATTAGGATTCAGTTGTATGATTTTCTCATCTGTTACTATTCTTGGATTATTCAGACATGGTATCCACTTCTTCAGTTACTTTGTTCCTGCTGGTACACCATTAGCATTAGTACCATTACTAGTATTAATCGAATTAATTTCATACTTTGCTAGAGCTGTATCATTAGGAGTACGTCTATTTGCTAACATGGTAGCTGGACATATTTTACTAAAAATTCTAGCATCATTCTTATTTGGACTATTTAACTCATCATTATTAGTAGCTACATTAACTCTAATCCCATTTGCATTATTTGTTGCATTAATTGGACTAGAATTAGCAGTAAGTGTTATCCAAGCATACGTATTCACTATTTTAACTTGTTCTTACATTAAAGATGCTCTAGATCTTCACTAGTTAAATAATAGTAATATTATACTAATATATAATAACCCTTTTATAATTAATTAAACCCCTTTTTATATAATATATAATTATTAGATAATTAAAGGTAATCTGGTTATTTAATTTTTTTAAGTTATTTTATTTAACACTTATATTCTACCAAGGCATGTGTCGTATAATGGCAATATAGTGGTCTTCCATATCATTGACGTGGGTTCGATTCCCACCACATGTATTTTTTGTAATATAAATTAATTCTATTATTATTTTAAAAAATTTAATTAATTATTTTACATTGTGACTTTTTAGTAATGCTATTATTAGCTTTAATTATTTTAGTTGTTGTTTTAGCAACAAGTTCCTCAGAAAACAGATCTACTGTTTCATTTGTTTACAATCCGGTTAAATTAATTGTATTATCATTAATTTTATCAATTGTATTAATTATTTCCGCTATTTCATCTTGCCCATTAGATTTAACAGTTTCTCTCTTTAGTGGACTATATCAAACATCATATGTAACATTAGCATTTGATTTACTATTATTTGTTAGTTCAGCATTAGTTTTAACATCATGGCCTCAATTTAAATCGAATAAATACTTATCTCATTTTAATAATTTTAAAATGAACGATTATAGTCTTATTGTTTTATTTTCTATTATTGGTGGATCATTCTTATTAGCTTCTAATGATTTAATTAGTTTATACTTAGCTCTTGAATTACAATCATTTGGTGTTTATGTTCTTACTACATTATATAGAGACTCAGAATCTGCTACTTCTGGTGGTATGAAATACTTCTTTTTAGGAGCTCTTTCTTCAGCCTTAATTTTATTAGGGTCAGCTATTTTATATACTTATTTAGGATTAACACAATTCGAATCTATTTATATTTTAGCAAGTGTTCCTACTAATACTATCGATCAAATTGGACTAAATTTTGGTTTATTACTTATTCTTATTGGATTATTATTTAAAGTTGCAGCTGCACCATTCCATTCATATGCTCCAGATGTATATGACGGAGCACCAACTCAAGTAACAATTTGGTTAACAACTATTCCAAAACTAAGTTTATTTGGTTTATTATTAGTTCTACAACCATTAGGTACATTATTAAGTAGTTCAGTAGAATTATTTAATTTAGTTCCATGGACAGATTTATTATTATTATCTACATTATTATCATTTATTGTCGGAAGTGTTATTGGTTTAGGTCAATATAGAATTAAAAGATTACTTGCTTATAGTACTATTGGACATGTCGGATTTATTTTATTAGGTCTAGCAAGTCATAGTACACAATCATTAGAATCAACATTCTTTTACTTAGGTCAATATACATTCACTACTATTAATGTATTCCTTATCTTAATTGCATTTGGTATTGCTATTAATGGTAAAAAATCTAATACTAATTATGATATTCAATTTATTAAAGATTTAACAGGACAATTCCTACATAACCCAGCATTAAGTTTAAGTTTAAGTTTATGTTTATCCTAAAAGTGGAGGTACTCCTGCCATAGAGAATAAACATAAACTTAAACTTAAACTTAATGCTGGGTTATGTAGGAATTGTCCTGTTAAATCTTTAATAAATTGAATATCATAATTAGTATTAGATTTTTTACCATTAATAGCAATACCAAATGCAATTAAGATAAGGAATACATTAATAGTAGTGAATGTATATTGACCTAAGTAAAAGAATGTTGATTCTAATGATTGTGTACTATGACTTGCTAGACCTAATAAAATAAATCCGACATGTCCAATAGTACTATAAGCAAGTAATCTTTTAATTCTATATTGACCTAAACCAATAACACTTCCGACAATAAATGATAATAATGTAGATAATAATAATAAATCTGTCCATGGAACTAAATTAAATAATTCTACTGAACTACTTAATAATGTACCTAATGGTTGTAGAACTAATAATAAACCAAATAAACTTAGTTTTGGAATAGTTGTTAACCAAATTGTTACTTGAGTTGGTGCTCCGTCATATACATCTGGAGCATATGAATGGAATGGTGCAGCTGCAACTTTAAATAATAATCCAATAAGAATAAGTAATAAACCAAAATTTAGTCCAATTTGATCGATAGTATTAGCAGGAACACTTGCTAAAATATAAATAGATTCGAATTGTGTTAATCCTAAATAAGTATATAAAATAGCTGACCCTAATAAAATTAAGGCTGAAGAAAGAGCTCCTAAAAAGAAGTATTTCATACCACCAGAAGTAGCAGATTCTGAGTCTCTATATAATGTAGTAAGAACATAAACACCAAATGATTGTAATTCAAGAGCTAAGTATAAACTAATTAAATCATTAGAAGCTAATAAGAATGATCCACCAATAATAGAAAATAAAACAATAAGACTATAATCGTTCATTTTAAAATTATTAAAATGAGATAAGTATTTATTCGATTTAAATTGAGGCCATGATGTTAAAACTAATGCTGAACTAACAAATAATAGTAAAGCAAATGCTAATGTTACATATGATGTTTGATATAGTCCACTAAAGAGAGAAACTGTTAAATCTAATGGGCAAGATGAAATAGCGGAAATAATTAATACAATTGATAAAATTAATGATAAACCCTTTTATAATTAATTAAACCCCTTTTTATATAATATATAATTATTAGATAATTAAAGGTAATCTGGTTATTTAATTTTTTTAAGTTATTTTATTTAACACTTATATTCTACCAAGGCATGTGTCGTATAATGGCAATATAGTGGTCTTCCATATCATTGACGTGGGTTCGATTCCCACCACATGTATTTTTTGTAATATAAATTAATTCTATTATTATTTTAAAAAATTTAATTAATTATTTTACATTGTGACTTTTTAGTAATGCTATTATTAGCTTTAATTATTTTAGTTGTTGTTTTAGCAACAAGTTCCTCAGAAAACAGATCTACTGTTTCATTTGTTTACAATCCGGTTAAATTAATTGTATTATCATTAATTTTATCAATTGTATTAATTATTTCCGCTATTTCATCTTGCCCATTAGATTTAACAGTTTCTCTCTTTAGTGGACTATATCAAACATCATATGTAACATTAGCATTTGATTTACTATTATTTGTTAGTTCAGCATTAGTTTTAACATCATGGCCTCAATTTAAATCGAATAAATACTTATCTCATTTTAATAATTTTAAAATGAACGATTATAGTCTTATTGTTTTATTTTCTATTATTGGTGGATCATTCTTATTAGCTTCTAATGATTTAATTAGTTTATACTTAGCTCTTGAATTACAATCATTTGGTGTTTATGTTCTTACTACATTATATAGAGACTCAGAATCTGCTACTTCTGGTGGTATGAAATACTTCTTTTTAGGAGCTCTTTCTTCAGCCTTAATTTTATTAGGGTCAGCTATTTTATATACTTATTTAGGATTAACACAATTCGAATCTATTTATATTTTAGCAAGTGTTCCTACTAATACTATCGATCAAATTGGACTAAATTTTGGTTTATTACTTATTCTTATTGGATTATTATTTAAAGTTGCAGCTGCACCATTCCATTCATATGCTCCAGATGTATATGACGGAGCACCAACTCAAGTAACAATTTGGTTAACAACTATTCCAAAACTAAGTTTATTTGGTTTATTATTAGTTCTACAACCATTAGGTACATTATTAAGTAGTTCAGTAGAATTATTTAATTTAGTTCCATGGACAGATTTATTATTATTATCTACATTATTATCATTTATTGTCGGAAGTGTTATTGGTTTAGGTCAATATAGAATTAAAAGATTACTTGCTTATAGTACTATTGGACATGTCGGATTTATTTTATTAGGTCTAGCAAGTCATAGTACACAATCATTAGAATCAACATTCTTTTACTTAGGTCAATATACATTCACTACTATTAATGTATTCCTTATCTTAATTGCATTTGGTATTGCTATTAATGGTAAAAAATCTAATACTAATTATGATATTCAATTTATTAAAGATTTAACAGGACAATTCCTACATAACCCAGCATTAAGTTTAAGTTTAAGTTTATGTTTATTCTCTATGGCAGGAGTACCTCCACTTTTAGGATTCTTTGGAAAACAAGTAATTCTACAAGCATCTTTATATTCTGGATATAACTGGTTAGCCTTAGTAGGTATTGTTACAAGTGTAATTAGTGCATATTATTATCTAAAAATTGTAAGAACACTATTCTTTGAATCAAACAATTCAGTTGATAATTATAATGATAATATCGTAGAAATTAATTCAGTACATTCATTTACAATTTCATTATTAACAATTTCATTATTGGTTTATATTATTAATCCATCATTAGTTCTGAATAGTATGCATCTACTAGGTTTAAGTTTATATAATATTTAGATATGAACTCATTAACATTACTTTTTATTGTAGTACCAGTTTTAATTGGTGTACTATTATTACTTAATTTATTACTTGCTGTTCACAAACCCGACGCTGAGAAAGTAACACCATATGAGTGTGGATTCAGTCCAGTTGAAGGTCAAACAAGAACACCATTCACAATTCAATACTATTTAGTGGGAATTTTATTCCTAGTATTTGATCTAGAAATTTTATTATTCTTCCCATTATCAGTTAGTTTATACCAAGTATCTAGTTATGGATTTACTATTGCTGTATTATTCTTCTCCGTACTTACTATTGGATTCATTTACGAATTAAGTAGAAATGTATTACACTTCACTGATCAAAGATCTGCCTTTGCTTCAGCAGTAAGAAGATAATATACTATTTATATCAATAATTTTTAATACCCCTCCCTACATAAGATTATAGGTAATTCAATATATTTTTAAGTATATGTATAAAATTGGCTTATTTTTATAATTTATCTATAATAGGGCGCATAGCTTAGTGGTAAAGCGAACTGCTTTTAACAGTTTGATGAGTGTTCGATTCGCTCTGTGCCTAAATATAATATAACACAAAATATTACTATCTTTTAAGAATAAAATTATAATAATATTTATGTACAAATTAGTTATTTTTATTTTTATTTAGATTATTAAAAATAATGAACATAAAGGTAATTATTTAGTTATTTTTCTATATAGAATTTATTGGGTTCATGGCAGAGCGGTCTATTGCATTCGTCTTGAAAACGAAAGCTATCTAATCGATAGCCGTAGGTTCAAATCCTACTGAGCCCGTTTTTAAAAATTTTAAAAATTATATAAATTTAATAATAAGAAAATGTGTAATTATATTTTACAATTTATTGCTGTAGTAGCTCAATGGTAGAGCGCGTTGCTGTTAACAACAAGACCTTGGTTCGATTCCATGCTACGGCTGGGTTTATTTGAGAGACAATAAATCATTAGAGTGTCCAAAACTCTATCCTTCTCCTTAGTGTATCCTGTATTATCTTACAGGAATTAAATGATGAAAATCATTCTTTTTATATATATTATTTTTTAACAATGAACTTATTTCTTCTTGATTTATTATCTGCTTTAGCAATGATCTCAGGTGTAATGGTTATTACATCTAAAAGTCCAGTTAGTTCTGTTTTATTCTTGGTTAGTGTATTTGTTAACTCAGCCTGTTACTTAGTAATTTTAGGTGTTGGATTTATCGGTTTATCATACTTAATTGTATACGTAGGAGCCATTGCGATCTTATTCTTATTCGTAATTATGATGCTTAATTTAAGATTAGTTGAATTAGTAGAAGTAGGGAAGGACTATACTAAGAATCTACCGTTAGGTCTATTAATTGGTTTAGTTCTATTCCTAGATTTAGTTAGTGTTATTCCATTCGATTTTACTAATGTAACATTCACTAATAAATTATTAGGTTATTATACTAATATTCAAAATGTTCTATTATCAGGTGATTTCAGTGGACTAAATAATGAAACTGTTTATCAAACTTTCAACCTAAACGGTCTTGATAATGAAATTGTTTCATTTACACACATCCAAGCTATTGGACAAGGTTTATATACTTATGGTTCAATTTGGCTAATTCTAGTAAGTTTCGTACTACTTTTAGGAATGGTAGGACCAATTGTTCTATGTCTAAAACCATCTGCTAAATAAGACACAATTATAAAATAAAATTATTAAACCCCTCCCAAATGTATATTATAATATAATAAAATTTTATACAATTTATTTATATTATCCATTCATAAAATATAAAATAAAAATCTACTAAATAAAAATAAAATAAAGTATATATTATTAGAATTAATATGAAATAGATAATAGTAAAATATATGTGTAATATAGTTTTATTTTTGTAATAATAATAATATGTATAGACGACAATCAAATTAATAAGTAATAATTTTATAAGTAATATATAATATGTAATATTTAGTATATAGTATATAATATATAGTATTAATATAATAGTATTAGTATGTAGTATTAGTATTAGTATTAGTATGTAGTATAGGAACGCGAAGACTCGAACTCCGACTACCCCTACCAAAAAGGGGTGAACTTCCCTTGTTCTACATTCCTTATAAGAATAAACAAATAATCTTCTGTATTTATAATTATAAATCATTTAATGGCTGGGTAAAGGAATCGAACCTTTTCCTCATCAGTATGAATGATACGTTCTAACCGATTGAACTAACCCAACTTAATTAAATAACTATTGTTTGGGCAGAGAGAGATTCGAACTCCCGACGGGTGGCACCCAGTTGAATTACAGTCAACCCCTATAACCACTCAGGCATCTACCCCTTAAAAAACTAATAATTAATAATTAAATATGCCTGATGCATGATTCGAACATACAATGACCGTTTACAAGACGGTAGTTATACCCTTTAACTAATCAGACAATAATAAAACCAAAAAGATAATTACCTTTATTACTATATAAAAATAAAAATTTTTTATCTTTTGTTATAGTTTTATATTTTAATTTATCCACGATCGGATTCGAACCGACATAACTCCACACGAAAAGTGAATGTCTTACCTGTTAGACTACATGGACATTTAATTTAAATAAAACCAATAAATCAGTATATAAAATAAATTAATATATTAATATTATGGATTTTTATTATTTTTAGTATTTTTATTATTTTTAGTATTTTTTAGTTTATTATTTTAAAGTTTTTTATTCATTGTGCGAGTAATGGATTCGAACCAAATTCCAACAAGTCATGAGCTTATTATGCTAACCATTACACCAACTCGCATTTAAATAGTATAAAGCATATATTATATTGGCTTTATAATAAAATCACTTCCAGGATTCGAACCTGAATAGGGATCTTAGAAGGATCCTGCTTTACCCTTAAGCTAAAGTAATTGCTACTTATAACTACTTATATTTTATTGTATATCTTTATTTTTATATAATAGTCAGAGCAAGGAATTGAACCTTTTTCTACCAGATTTGCAATCCGAAGGCTGAAACCATCAGCCGCCCTAACCTTAATATACCAAAACAAATACTAATTATATTACCTTTAATTTACTATGAAGGGGTTTAATAATTTTATTAATAATAATATTTCTATGTTAAATCAACTATGAAACTAGTAATAATAGTAAAAACAATAATCCTAATTTAATTCCTAAAATCATTGTACCATTTGATAGGTTTAATAAACCTACTCCTAATACTAAGAAAATAAGAATCATTAAGGCTAACATGATATATAATGAGTTTAATGTAATTCCTCCACTATTTGATAGTGCATCAGTATCAGTTTCTTTTAATTGATTTTGACTGAATAATTTACCTGTATCGAATTTTGATAATTTATTTGACATAGATACTAGACTTACTGATAATCCATATGGTCCTAAAATTTCAATAATACCTCTATCAAATACTTTAGATAAAATTAATCCATATTTGAAACTTAAATCTGTAGTTAATCCATTTAAAATAGCATCGAATTTATATTTACCATTGAAGAATGTATAAGATTTATATCCGAAGTTTGATTTTGTTAAATCAATTGCATATTTTGCTGCTGACGGATATTGATATAGACTAAATCCAGCTAAGAATCCAATTAAAGTGAAAATAGCTGGTAACCATTTAATAAGAATAGGTAAGTTAAATTCAGCTTCAACTAAGTATACATTATTTGGGTGTGTAAACAATGCTGAACCAAAGAAATCAGTTCCCATACCTACAAATGCATCTTTTCCAAAGTAACCAAAGAAGATACTCATAATACTTAATACAATTAATGGAATAAATGTAAATGTATCACTTTCGTGTGTATTTTCATAATCTACTTTTGGTGCATTTGGTGTTGAAAAGAATACTAGTGTTAATAATCTAGTTGAATAGAAAGCTGTGAATAAAGCTGCTACTGATCCAAGAATAAATACTACAATACCTGGTAGAGAATAAGCACCATATGACAATTCAAGAATTAAATCTTTAGAATAGAATCCTGTTAAAAATGGTACTGCCATTAATGAAAACGATCCTACTAGCATGGCTGTATATTTTAATGTTAAAAATGATCTTAATCCTCCTAATCTTCTAATATCTTGTTGATCCGCCATAGAGTGAATAACAGCACCTGCAGCTAAGAATAGCATAGATTTAAAGAAACCATGATTTACTAAATGGAATAATGCAACATCATATTGAGATAATCCACATGCCATAACCATATATCCACATTGTGACATAGTACTCATAGCAATAATACGTTTCATATCATTTTGTAATAATCCCATTGAGGCTCCAATAAAGGCAGTTACAGCTCCAATACCCTTTAACTAATCAGACAATAATAAAACCAAAAAGATAATTACCTTTATTACTATATAAAAATAAAAATTTTTTATCTTTTGTTATAGTTTTATATTTTAATTTATCCACGATCGGATTCGAACCGACATAACTCCACACGAAAAGTGAATGTCTTACCTGTTAGACTACATGGACATTTAATTTAAATAAAACCAATAAATCAGTATATAAAATAAATTAATATATTAATATTATGGATTTTTATTATTTTTAGTATTTTTATTATTTTTAGTATTTTTTAGTTTATTATTTTAAAGTTTTTTATTCATTGTGCGAGTAATGGATTCGAACCAAATTCCAACAAGTCATGAGCTTATTATGCTAACCATTACACCAACTCGCATTTAAATAGTATAAAGCATATATTATATTGGCTTTATAATAAAATCACTTCCAGGATTCGAACCTGAATAGGGATCTTAGAAGGATCCTGCTTTACCCTTAAGCTAAAGTAATTGCTACTTATAACTACTTATATTTTATTGTATATCTTTATTTTTATATAATAGTCAGAGCAAGGAATTGAACCTTTTTCTACCAGATTTGCAATCCGAAGGCTGAAACCATCAGCCGCCCTAACCTTAATATACCAAAACAAATACTAATTATATTACCTTTAATTTACTATGAAGGGGTTTAATAATTTTATTAATAATAATATTTCTATGTTAAATCAACTATGAAACTAGTAATAATAGTAAAAACAATAATCCTAATTTAATTCCTAAAATCATTGTACCATTTGATAGGTTTAATAAACCTACTCCTAATACTAAGAAAATAAGAATCATTAAGGCTAACATGATATATAATGAGTTTAATGTAATTCCTCCACTATTTGATAGTGCATCAGTATCAGTTTCTTTTAATTGATTTTGACTGAATAATTTACCTGTATCGAATTTTGATAATTTATTTGACATAGATACTAGACTTACTGATAATCCATATGGTCCTAAAATTTCAATAATACCTCTATCAAATACTTTAGATAAAATTAATCCATATTTGAAACTTAAATCTGTAGTTAATCCATTTAAAATAGCATCGAATTTATATTTACCATTGAAGAATGTATAAGATTTATATCCGAAGTTTGATTTTGTTAAATCAATTGCATATTTTGCTGCTGACGGATATTGATATAGACTAAATCCAGCTAAGAATCCAATTAAAGTGAAAATAGCTGGTAACCATTTAATAAGAATAGGTAAGTTAAATTCAGCTTCAACTAAGTATACATTATTTGGGTGTGTAAACAATGCTGAACCAAAGAAATCAGTTCCCATACCTACAAATGCATCTTTTCCAAAGTAACCAAAGAAGATACTCATAATACTTAATACAATTAATGGAATAAATGTAAATGTATCACTTTCGTGTGTATTTTCATAATCTACTTTTGGTGCATTTGGTGTTGAAAAGAATACTAGTGTTAATAATCTAGTTGAATAGAAAGCTGTGAATAAAGCTGCTACTGATCCAAGAATAAATACTACAATACCTGGTAGAGAATAAGCACCATATGACAATTCAAGAATTAAATCTTTAGAATAGAATCCTGTTAAAAATGGTACTGCCATTAATGAAAATGATCCTACTAACATTGCTGTATATGTTAATGGTAAAAATGATCTTAATCCTCCTAATCTTCTAATATCTTGTTGATCCGCCATAGAGTGAATAACAGCACCTGCAGCTAAGAATAGCATAGATTTAAAGAAACCATGATTTACTAAATGGAATAATGCAACATCATATTGAGATAATCCACATGCCATAACCATATATCCACATTGTGACATAGTACTCATAGCAATAATACGTTTCATATCATTTTGTAATAATCCCATTGAGGCTCCAATAAATGCAGTTACAGCTCCAATCCATACAATAACAGTAAGTGCTGTAGTTGCAAATTCTAATAATGGAGATGATCTTAATAATAAATAAATTCCGGCTGTAACTAGAGTAGCTGAGTGAAGTAAAGAACTAACAGGTGTTGGTCCTTCCATACTTGATGGTAACCATGAGTGTAGTCCAATTTGAACTGATTTTCCTGCTACACCTCCTAACATTAATAATACAATTAATGATAATACATTTTCATTCATATAAGGTGCAGTACTGAATACTGTAGAATAATCAACAGCTCCAATTAACCAGAATAAACCAAAGAAAGCAACAGTTAATGAATAATCACCCACTCTATTAGTTACAAATGCTTGATTAGCAGATTTAGTAGCTTGAGCTCTAGTAAACCAGAAACCAATTAATAAATAAGAAGCAATACCAATAAATTCCCATCCAATGAATAAAATTAAATAGTTATTACCTGTTACTAATACTAACATTGAAAATGTGAATAAACTTAAAAAACTAAAGAATCTTTGATTATGTGGATCATGTGCCATATAACTAATAGTATAAAGATGAACAAGACTTGAAACAGTTAAAACAGTAATAAGCATAGATACAGTTAAAGTATCAAATTGAAATGCCCAATTAACAGTTAAAGCTTCAATATCAATCCAACTTGTAAGATTAATAATAACTGGTGAATTTGATAATGCTACTTCATAAAAAGCGATCCAAGCTAATGCTGTTGAAATAAATAATAATGATGTTGTTGTGATTTGAGCTCCTTTAGCACCAATAAATCTTCCTAAAAAACCAGCAGAAAGAGACCCTAATAATGGTAATAATAAAATTGATAGATACATTATTTATACTCTTAATGAAATTGTTCCTTTCAGACGATAATAGGCTACTAATACTCCTAACCCAATAGCTGATTCAGCCCCAGCAACGGCAATAATATAAATAGCATAAGTTTGTCCTAAAATATCATTGAATACATATGATGAAATTAAAATTAATAATGTTACAGCTAATAACATTAACTCAACAGAAATTAACATTAATAATACATTCTTTCTATTTAAAACAAAACCTAGCACACCAATTAAAAATAAAATTAATGGTAATGTCATTTTAATTTTTTATAACTACAATACTAATAACAGATATTATCTATTAAAGGGCAAAACTTTTATATTTTCCAAACAATTAACGTATATAATATTTACCTAAGTAAATTAGACTAAAATAATAATTATAATTATATAAATTATTATTTTAAATCCATTACCTATAAAATAAATATAAATTTATAAGCTTATTCTATTACTAATTCTTGATTCTTATATTTATAGGAGTCATTCTAACATAATATAAATAAATATAATTAAATAGTTAAAATTAATAATTCTAAGCATTAAATAAAAAATAGTAATTATAGGTTAGTAAGCAAGAATATAATTTAGTTTATATTAACTTGAGTTATATAGTCAGACAATTTTATTGAATAATTTCAATGGCTGTAACACGTTGGTTATTTAGTACTAACGCTAAAGATATTGGTACATTATATTTAGTATTTGCCATCTTTAGTGGTTTACTAGGTACAGCTTTCTCTGTACTTATTAGATTAGAGTTAGCAGCACCAGGAGTACAATTCTTAAATG